TTAAAATCATAAGGTAGATTGGATTTGGAAATTCAGATTGAAATTTATTATTATAGTGTTTTTCACAAACTTTATCTTAGTTTTTACGAAAAACTGAAGAGGAGTGGGACAAGGATGCTATTAATAAAATGTACAGTAGAAATAAGAAGGGAGTGTCTAAAGGATTCTATTGCGATTTCTACTTGGAAATTAGAATTGTAATTTATTATTGTGATGTTTTTCACCAACTTTGTACCAATTTTTGTCAAAAACTGAAGAGGAGTGCGGCAAGGATGCTGCATTTTATAATAAAATGTAGTGTAAATCAGAGAATCACTAAGGATTTCATTCTGTTTTTTCGAAAATCAAGACTGAATTTATTCTTTAATTTATTTTTTTAAGGAGGCGAAATGAGTAAAGATTTGAGAGAGGATTGCGGCAAGATTCTTGTTGTTTATTAAGGATTCTATTCTGTTTTTCAGAAATCAAGATTAAAATTTATTATTCTGGTGTTTTTCACTAACTTTGTACCAATTTTTGTCAAAAACTAAAGAGGAGTGCGGCAAGGATGCTGCCTTTTTTTTTAACAAAACGTAGTGTGGAAATCAGATAAGGAGTGCATTAAAGATTTTATTTTGTCTATTTGGAAACCAAGATTGATTTTTATTATTTTGACGTTTTTCACCAAATTTGTATCAATTTTTCCATAAAGTGAAGAGGAGACGGCGAGGATGCAGCATTTTATTATTAATATCTAGTGTGAAAATTAAAATAAGAATGCATCAAGGATTTTATTCTATTTATTTGAAAATCGAGATTGAAATTTATTATTATCGTATTTTTCACCAACTTTGTACCAATTTTTACCAAAAACTGAAGTGGAGTTTGGCAAGGATGCTGCATTTTATTAATATATTGTAGTGCAGGAATAAGAAGAAGCATCGAGTATTCTATTCTGTTTTTTTTTCAAAAATCAAGACTGAAATTTATGATTGTGATTTTTTTTACCAATTTTTTACCAAAACTGAGGCGAAATAATGATGTATTTTAGGGAGAGTTCTGCAAGGATGTCCTGATGTCCATTGAGAATTCTATTCTGTTTTTTTTGAAATTGCAATTTATTATTGTGATTTTTTTGATTATTCCTTTTACCATTTTTTTACCAAAAATTGAGGCGAAATGAGGAAGGATTTAAGGGAGGAGTGCGGCAAGGATGTCCTGATGTCCATTGAGTATTCTAATTTGTTTTTTCAGAAATCAAGATTTTAATTTATTATTGTGATGTTTTTGATTATTAATTTACCATTTTTTTTTTACCAAAAACTGAGGCGAAATAATTAAGGATTTTAAGTATTTAGCCATTTAACCAACATTTAAGTTCAACAGGTTTTTATTACTAATTACAAATTTAAAATTTATATTGTGATGTTTTTAACAATAATTTTAAACTAAAAAATGTTTGTTTTTAGTCAGCATATTTTTATTTATGTTTTTTGACGTTTAGAGTCATTCTGAATCGTTTGATACCAAAATTGAAATAAGATTTTAACATGTGATTTCAAGTCATCATCAGTTTTTATAAACAAAGCACTAAAAATATATTGATAATATATTACAATGTGATTAAACTTAAAAGTATTAATAGCCTAAAATATTATAGGCCTAGGGACGATAGTTCAAATATAAAATTTTGCAAAGGTTGTATTAATGGGTTAAGTCAAAATTTCAAAATTCAATCGTGACAAATTGAAAAGTTGTTGAATTTAAATTCTCATTGACTATGTCGATTATTTGAAATCACTTACAATTCACAATAACTGATATTTTTAGTGTTATTTATGCTTGTTTTTCCAAAGACATGAAATCATATATCGAAACGTATGGAAAAATAATGATGCTCTAAAAATTTGTATTTTTTTATTTGATGTTATCTAATATGTCTTCTTTATAAACAAGGAATTACAACAAATTATCATTTATCCCCGAGGCGATGATTTTGGCTTTCAATGTCGATAACCAGTTTGATTTTAATTTATTCCACGTATGATTATCATTCAAAATGCATTCGGAATAAATCACAGACGTTCAGAATTGTGCAATTCCTTCTGATTTTGTTCAAAATCGGTTTAAACAATAATTATAGATAAATAAATAAATAATTTATACGTCTACTAATATATGATTTTCCGTTCCGTTGACCCAATAAGACAAGGCGGAAACCTTGAAATTTATCTCGCAGGTTGATGAGTTGTTGTTAATGAACTAAATTTATAATGAGATGTACGTAATAGATATTAATAGTAATAAATTAATAGTAACTCATTTCTGTACCTGAAGTTCCAAAATTTAGGATTTCTGTCAGGATCTAATTTCTGGTGCGCCTGGATAAGGTGGTTCCTCTTGCATTTGGCATCCATACATCGTATCCATCATTGTATAACATAAAACCTGTAAAAATGAAAATATACTAAAAATAATTGAAAATTAGGTTTTAGATATGGAGATTATTAAGGGATCTTGACTTTTTTTCTCGATTTTTTGACTAATTTTTTTGTACGTGGGTCGAATGATTTTTGTTTTGTGCAGGTTTCCTTATATTTTGTACCCAATGTTGTGTTTAAAAATTATTAAGTCAATTTTTGCTTTTTTCGGTTAAATGACATATTTATTTATCCAACATATATTTTTTGAAAACTATTTTCCTGTTAGTTATTTAATAAGTTCATCTTTCTTGAATAAATTTTTTGTTGATTTCCTCGGTTGGACTAATACCAATTTTTTACCAAAAACTGAGGCAAATAATGAAGGATTGTAGAGAGGAGCGGCAAGGATGTCCTGATGTCCTTTAAGGATTCTATTCTGTTTTTTGAAATCAAGATTGAAATTTATTATTGTGATGTTTTTGATTAATTTTTTAACCTATTTTCACCTTAAACTAAAACGAAATATTAAGGAATTTAGAGAGGAGTGCTACATAGAAAATTAGTTAATTAATTTATTTCACCAATTTTTTTACACGTTTTTTCCAATTTTAATGCTTTTTTCAGTATAGCATACAATTTTTTCTTTTTTCTTTTAATTTTCGATTTTTTAGTTGTTTTTTCTCGATTTGCAGAAGTTTTTCTCGATTTTTTCCTGAACCATAATTCTTAGCTTAAAATGATGTATGAGAGAAATATTTGTTATAAAATTACGAATAAAATGATATATAATTCGACATGTATGTTCATATAATTTTCTTGAGATTTTTTTATTCTTAATTACCAAATAATTTTTTTGCCCAATTTATTTCGTCGGTTACGTAATAGTTTTTTTTATTTGATCAATTTTTTTTATAAGTTGCTTTGCATTTTTTTTTTTTAATTTGGTTATATAATGATATTGGCATATTGCTGGTTTAATAACTTTTTGCTTAATCATTGTTTTTCTATCAATTAAATAATGATAATTTTAAAACTATTGTTAGTTACATACCTCATAATTTTTTGTCTAAGTTCCTAAATATTTGGTTTAGATTTTGCTAGATATTGTAAATTACATTTTATTAGCTATTTATTTTTCTAAAATTTTGAGTATCTAATAATAATTGCTTTTGGTTAGTCTAATAATTTTTATTGGCCAATAATATTTTTTGTAGTAACTATTTTTATTTTAGTTACCTAATAATTATTTTTGTTTTCTTTTGCTATCCCAATATTTTTAATGCCTATTTTGCTTGCCCAAATTTTTTGTTTGATTACGTAATCAAGGACAATTTGTTCCTAATTTTTGCTGGTTACCTAATAATTTTTTATGACCACTTTTGTTCAATAATCAACCAATTTATTTTTATTTCCAATTAAACAAATGCTCTTTGTTAGTCTAATAATTTTTCTTAACCAATATTTTTGTTTTATCTAATGTGCT